AGTCGGGTCCTTAAGTCTCGTTCAAGAATTCGTGTTTGGGAGTTTCCCCGTTTTCTTTTCGCGCGGGACAGAAGGGAGGGGGGACTATGAATGATTGAATTGCCGTTGTTGTTTGGGTTCGTTAAAGTGGAATTAGGTATGTAAATTGTTTGTTTCGACTTGGAGTAATTGGCAATTAAGATTAATTTGTTCTGTTGTTATTTTTTTCAATTATTATATTATGATTATATTTTTTTCTTGTATATCTCCTTTGTATTTTATTCGTCATTATCGTTATTTATTTTTAATTTGTCATTTATCTTCACTTCTTAATGCATCATTTATCATGTTTATGTTCATCATTTTATATTTCATACAATATTAACCTTTCCATTCTTTATTGACCTGTCATTAGATCCTTTACTAATTTATCATTATCTTTCTCATTCTTCATTCATCTCTTATTAGCTTCCCCGTCCTTTACTCGCCATTAATCGCTTTTTCATTCTTTATTCATCATTTAGTAGCTTTTCCGTCCTTAATTCATTATTTCTTAGCTTTCTCATTCTTTATTTAAATATTTTGTAGCTTTCCCATATTTTGTTTATCATTTATGAACTTTCCCATCCTTTTTTTATATTTTTTTTTAACTTTCTCCATATTTCTTTGTCATTTATTAGCTCTTCCCATCCTTTATTTATATATATATTTTTTTACTTTACCATATTTTATTTGTCATTTATTAGCTGTCCCATCCTTTATTTATATATTTTTTCAGCTTTCCCATATTTCATTTATCATTAATTAACTTTCCCATCTTCCATTCATCATTAATTACCTTCATTAATCTATCATAACTATTTCCATTCTTTATTCGCCATTAATTATTAATTATCTCCCCCCCCCCTTCCAGCTCCTCCCCCCTCTGCCTGGCCACGTGGACAAGCCGGTGGGCCACAACGTGAAGCTGAAGTGTCTGGCCAGCGGCGTCCCCGAACCCACCATCACCTGGTTCAAGGTAGGTGGGCAGGTGGGCCGAGCGAGTGGGTTTCTGGTGGGGTGTTTTTTTTTGGGGGGCCGGATGGGTGGGTGGGTGGTATGGGTTATAGGGTGGGAGGGTAGGGGTAGGGGGTGAGTAGGGGGTATGGGTGTGAGGAAGTGAGTAGGGGTAGTAGGTGAGTAGGGGTATAGGGAGGTGGGTAGGTGGTAGGGTATAGGAGAGGGGGGTTGGGGGGTAGGGGGGTAGGGGAGGTGGGTTGGGGGGTGTAGGAGGTATAGGAGGTGGTTGGGGGTAATAGGGAGGTGGTAGGTGGGTTGGAGGGAGGAGGGATAGGGAGGTGGGTAGGGGTGGGGGGTATATGGGTGTGGGTTGGGGGTAGGGGAAGGTGGTAGGGGGATATGGGAGGTGAGAGGTGGGTTGTGGGGGCGGATGTGAGGAGGGGGTGTGGGTATGGTTGGTGGGAGAGGGGAGGATGAGGAAGTTGGGAATGAGGGAAGAGAGAGAGAAGAGAGAGAGAGAGAGAGAGAGAGAGAGAGAGAGGAGAGAGAGAGAGAGTGTGTGTGTGTGTGTGTGTGTTGTGTGTGTGTGTGTGTGTGTGTGTGTGTGTGTGTGCGTGTGTGTATGTGTGTTGTGTGTGTGTGACTGTAAGTGTAAGTGAAAGTGTATGAGTGTAGTATTTCATATGCATTGAAGTTCCGTGTGGATCGTTTGGAATGAAGAGATGGGTGGTGGGGGGTGGGGGGGGAGCGTCTGCGGCCTTGAAGAGGGCTGAAATTCCTCCGAGTGTCGTTGATTCTGTGGGAGGTGATGGCGCTCCCTCGCTCTTTCTCTTTTCGCGACTTCTGTTCTTCCTCTTGTCTTCTCGTCATCTTCTATATATTTCTTTTTCCTTCTCCTCTTCTGCCTCCCTTTTTCCTAATTTTTTTTCCTTCTCTTTTTCCTCCTCCCCACCTTCTCCTTTTCCCCCTCTTCTTCCTTCCCCTTCTCCTTCTCCCCTTCATTCTCCTCCTTTTCCTTCCCTTTTATTCTTCCTCCTCCTCCTCCTCCTTTTTCTCCTCTTTCTCTCTTCCTCTTTCAACCCTCAACCTCCCCCCCCTCTCTCTGCTCCCCCATCTCTGCTCCCCCTCCCCTCTCTCTCTCTGCACAGTCCCCGGACGTGTTTTGCCGAAGCCTCTGGAGACACGTAAACAGTTGGCCAGTCAGGGTAACAGTTTACCTCTCTCTCTTTCTCTTTCTTTTTTTTTCTCTCTCTCTTTTTCTTTTTCTTTCTCTCGGTTTCTCTCAGTTTCTCTCGGTTTATCTCTCTCTCTCTTTCTCTTTCTCTTCTCTCTCTTTCTCTTTCTCTTTCTCTTTCTCTTTCTCTTTCTCTCTCTTCTCTTCTCTTCTCTCTCTTCTCTTCTCTTCTCTTCTCTTCTCTTCTCTTCTCTTCTCTTTTCTTCTTCTTCTCTTCTCTCCTCTTTCTCTTCTCTCTCTTCTCTCTCTCTCTCTCTCTCTCTCTCTCTCTCTCTCTCTCTCTCCTCTCCTCTTCTCTCTCTCTCTCTCTCTCTCTCTCTCTCTCTCTCTCTCTCTCTCTCTCTCTGTGGGCGGCGCGGGCGGGCGGAAGGAGCGCTGCCGCCCGGATCTTGATTGGATGTTGGGCTGAGTCGAAGGGCGGCAACGAAGGGAATGTGTAGTTTTATATATATATATATATATATATATATATATATATATATATTATATATATATATAATATATGTATGTATGTATGTATGTAAATATTAATCTGTTGTGTGTGTGTGTGTGTGTGTGTGTGGTGTGTGTGTGTGTGTGTGTGCTTTTGTGTTTGGTGTGCGCGGCGTGTGTGTCCAGTCTTCCAATTACGCTCGTTTTTCCGTTTTTTTTCCTGGGGCCGTTTTCGGCTGCAAGGATTCCTCTCGCGGTTATTTATGGCCTTTAATGAACCTTAATTAATCGAATACGGTGCAGAGAGACGACGTAATGAAGTCAGGAGAGTCAGTAAGGTCGAAGAATGCACTAGGTTGGCGTGGGAGTTTCGCTCTTTTAGGTCGTCGGTGTGTATCACTGATTTGACCCCGAGTACCGTACAGGAGTCATTTTAAACTGTTTTTTCGTTGTTTTTTATTCTAGTTTTTATTTAAGTCGGTAAGTCATAGTAGGTGAGAAGATGCTTTGTTTTTAACTAATTGGTGTTATTAAGTTGTTATGATACCAGTTTATTTGTTATTATCCTGTGTGTGTGTGTGCGTGGCTGTGTGTGTGTGTGGTGTGTGTGTGTGTGTGGTGTGGTGTGTGTGTGTGTGTATTACTGTTTTGTCTTTTTGTCTCTCTCGTTAATATTACCATTATAGTTTATTATTTATCACCATGGGTCTCTCTCTCTCTCTCTCTCTCTCTCTCTCTCTCTCTCTCTCTCTCTCTCTCTCTCTCTCTCTCTCTCCTCTCTCTCTCTCTCTCTCTCTCTCTTCTCTCCTTTTTTCCTCTTCTTCATCTGTTTAAGTACAGTTTATTCTCCCTTCCACCTCGTCTCTTCACTCCCTTCTTCCCTGGTCCTCCTTCTTCCTCTCTCCCTTCCTTCTTCCTCCTTTTTCTATCCCTTCCTTCCTTCCGCAATTTTCTTCTCTTTCTATCTCTCCTCTCCTCTCCGTCTTTCCTGCTCCTTCTCTCCCTTTTCCTCTCTCTTTCTCTCTCCTTTCTCCCTTCCTCCTTCTCGCCTTTCCCCTCGTCCACTTACATATTTCACGACTTTCCCCTCTCCCTCTGATTGTTCTTCCTTTCCCTTTCTCTTCCCCCACTTCCCCCTTTCCCCTCTCGCCTCTCTCCTGTCTTCCTAACCCTCTTCTTCCCCTCTCCCTCTATCCATCCCTCCCTCTCTTATCTTCTCACCCCTTTTTTTTACACCCTTTCTCCTCCTTCTCCTCTTTTCTCTTCCCCTCTCTTCCTCTTTCTCTCTCTCTCTCTCTCTCTCTCTCTCCCTCTCTCGCTCTCTCTCTTCTCTCTCTCTCTCTCTCTCTCTCTCTCTCTCTCTCTCTCTCTCTCTCTCTCTCTCTTCTCTCTCTTCTCTTCTCTTTCTCTTTCTCTTTCCCTTCTATCTCTCTCTCTTCCCCTCCTTCCCCTCTCTTTGTCCTCCCTCACCTTTCACCCTTAAACATTCAGTAGCTGCGCATCATGTCCCTTCATTCCATTCCGATGGTTGCCATGACAACCGATGGCAGCGAATATGCAAGGACGTTTCCCTGTCGTGTGTGTGTGTGTGTGTGTGTGTGTTGTCTGTCTGTGTCGTGTGTGTCTTTGAGTATTATTGAATGCATGTATGTAGAATGTATGTTATATATATGTCTGTATGTATATATGTATGTATGGAGGTCTATATATATATGTTCTATGTCGTGTGAGTAATCTATGCATGCGTGCCCGCGCCGTGTTTTCCCGGCCCCTGAGATCCTACCTGTGATTAATAAGGGGCGCCGAGTGGACAGCAGGACCACGGGAGGCCTTCGGTCGGTTCGGGTAATGAGGGCCGACAGGTGTTGCGGCGGCCGAGTGACACCTGTACGCGGCCGTGTGTCGATGGCTTCGCTGAGAGGGACGAGCTGGGAATGGCGGTTGAGAGAACGAGGAGGGGGGAGAGGATTGAGAGAGGAATGCGGTGAAGAGGGGAGAGAGAAATGAGGAGAAGACGTGTGATGATAAGGGGGAAAATAGTTAATGAGGAATAGCGGTAATGATAATGGGGGTTTTTATTTATCTGTGAAATTCTAGTGGGATGAGTTAACTGGTATATTTGTCAGGCAGATTTTCCTAGGAGCTTTTTTGTTTATTTCTTTATTATTAAATCGTTGGCGGTTAACACTTGCGCCAAAATTTTGAAGTGGTCTTTATTTCCCGCCCTTTCTCTCTTCCGAGCCTTTCTTCCCATTTCTCCTTCGGCGCTCTTTCTCTCCCTTTTCCTTCTCCCTTCCCCCTCTTCTTCACGTGCCCTCCGACTCCTCCCTCCTCCCCTTTTAACCTCCTTTCTCTCTTCTGCTCCTTCCTTCTCCCCATCTCCTTTCCCTTCTCCCCCTCTGCCCTGTCATCTCCGTATCTCCCTCCCCCTATCCCTCCTTCATTGCTCTCCCTCCCCCTCCCTATCCTCCCTCCCTCCCCTCCTCCTCCCCCTCCCCTCTCTCCTCTCCTCTCCTCCCCTCCCCTCCCCTCCCCTCCCCTCCCTCCTCTCCTCATTTATACAAAATTACTTACGGTCGACTGAGTGTTGGTAAATCTTTAGAAAAAAAGTGATGGAGGATTGTCACCTTAAACGCATGATGCTTAGGAAATTCTCCAGGACGCTAAGATGCGTTCAGGTGTGAAAAGAATAAATAAAAGTAGGCTATTTTTAGTGATAAAAGGCATTAGTAAACTTCGTTTCGGTGGAAGGAGAAGGGAGGGAGGGAGGGAGGGAGGGAGGGAGGGAGGGAGTGGGAGGAGGAGGGAGGGAGGGAGAGAGGGAAGAGGGGAGAGAGGGAGAAAGAGGAGAGAGGAGGAGGAGAGGAGGGAGGGAGGAGGGAGAGGGAGAGGGGAGGGAGAAGGGAGAGAGGGGAGAGAGGAGAGAGGGAGAGGGAGATACGAGGAGAGAGAAGTGAGAGAAGAGAGAGAGAGAGAGAGAAGAGAGAGAGGAGAGAGAGAAGAGAGAGAGAGAGAGAATTGAGAGAAGAAGAGGAGGGAAGAAAGAAAGAAAGAAAGGCAAATAAAAACAGATAGAAGGGCGCAGACTAACAAACAGACAGACAGAAAGAGATAGTAAGAAACACAGAGATAGATCTAGACATACCAATAAAAAAAATAAATAAATAAAAAAATTAAAAAACAAGAGACAGAGAGAACGAACCACCCATGAAGATAAGAGCGAATGAGAAAGGGATAGCGAGAGAAGAGAATGAGAAAGCGAGATGAGAAAGGAGAGAGCGAGAGAAAGGAGAGCGAGAGAGAGGGAGACAGAGCGAGCGAGCAGGTGTTAGTTTTAGGGGAACGGTATCCAG